AAGCCAGACTTGCTGAATATCCTTACCGAATGGATAGTGAAGTTTTTCCTTAAAGGAGAAACAATCCTATTTAACGTCTAGATTTTTTTTTTTTTTTTTTTTGCGGTTTTTACATTTTTTTTGTGGTTCGGGCAACTCAGCAGAAACGGAGAGAGCAACCAAATATCATTGCGTCATATTTTAACCGGACGACGCGGAAGTCTCCTCTACCTACGGGGGCGCCCCGTGGTACCGAACGCCCGCGGCAGGTGACGATATCGTGAGACGTTGTAGGTCTAGTCAGAGCCGCTAAAAGCATTTTTTTTTAGTCGAAATACAAAATATATGTGGCGCGAACCATTTCAATTATATATGAAAGCAGTTTTTGTTCACTATTTTAGATCGAAAAGAAAGAAATGTAGTTCAGAAAGTACGGAAACAAGAAATGACACGTCGACATACCCGCCACCAAGCGGTGGAGAAGCCGGCGCATACTAGAAAGGTGTCGTGGGATCAGGCATCAACGAGCGGCGAGCGTAGAAAAGTCCCGGATGTACGTGGCGGCGCTGTGGTCGTATGGTTTCGAGGATATAATCGGTTCCGAGCGTTCCGAAGGCTTTCGGCGGGCACGTTTGGCAATATGGCAGCGCGAAGTGGCTCCCGTTCTGGACTGATCTTTACCCCGTCTTTGCTGTCGTTTGTGGCCAATGAAGCGTCATGCTGAATTAGTGTTTAATCGCGCAGCAAATGCAATGCGAACCACCCTGGCCGCCCGCTTCATCTAGCCTACCCTGCACATGCTTTACTGGCGCCCTCTGGGGCCGTCGACAGGGAGTGCGGCAACCTTGAGCGCTCGATGAGCCCACTACCCCTCTTCTAGTTCACGGCCACCGAAGCCAAGACCAGGGATGTCATGAAGGAGGTAATTTTTTTTATTGTTACCGTAATTTAATTTTGCCCATAACTTAAAAAAAAAAAAAAAAGCGAAATTCGAGAAAAGTTTTACTGTGTTACTCCGTTCAGAGCGTTCAGGTTCGGCGCAAACTAAAAACCAGTCAATAAGTCGTTGCAGGGCGTCTTTAAAGAGCAAAAACAAATTACCGACCGTGTATTTCCCAAATAAATAACATCAAAGGCAGCCATATGCCCCCCAAAAAGGTAGATTTCCCGCTCTTTAATCGGGCCTTAATTAGAAAAGAGGGGCCCCGCGATCATGATTATGCTTTATCCTCCCCAATCCCTTCAGAAAAATTTGAACGGTTAAGCGTGCTGGTGATCGCTGACAAAGTCAAAACGGAAGGGAAGAGCTTCAGTTGCTCCGCTTGTAACGGAAGCTAAAGCACGACGGAAGGCATGGTCACGTCTCCACCGTGTTGCCATTCTCACTGTCGCTGACTATAGATTACGAGAAGGAAAGCGGCTCGTCGAAGACAAAGTAGACGACACGGGCTGTCATCGTCGTCGTATCGTCTGCACTCCTGTCTTCAACGCTGCCTCTTTCCTCATTCCTACTGTCGATGGCCAGTAGCGTCACACAAAGCAGCCTCGGCGAACGCAAATTTCCCTATTGTAGAAGATTACCCTACGTCGTCGTCGCGCAATACGGGTACGTAACACGTTCGCGGCGCTATTCGAACGCACAGTAAAATTACTGCCGCAGTTGCGCACGCAGATTTCCAGTGAGACCCGCCGATGGTGTACACGGACGACGCCCCTTTGATGACGTCAGCGGGACCGCCATAACAAACAGAGTCGTCGCGAAAGGGGACATGTACCTAGAAGTAGAAAAAAATATCCGAGAGAGCGAAAAAAAAAAGAGAGAGAGGGACGAGCTGATGAATAAAATGACCAGCAGTCGCGCAAGATCACAATTAGCCCAAAAGGCAGGGGGCAAAGCTCACCCCCGGGTGCATTTCGGGAAGCTCCCCCGCAGCTAAAGAACGAATGTAAAACGGTAAACTATCCATTCCCTGCCGCGGCGAGTACAATTCCAGTGGCGGTGTTGGTAACGAGGGGAGAGAGGGAAAAAAGGGAGAGGGTGCGGAAGTGGGGAACGAAAGAGATAAGCAGCCTTCCCATCTTTTTTTGTTTTCCTTTTCTTTCTTTCACCTTTACTATGGAGCAAGCCGCCCAGACCCCGATCAATAGGGAAAAGAGGACCACACCAAATTAAGTAGCCTTACCCTTCGCCCTCCTTATGCCAGTTTAATATAAAAAAGCAAAGTCATAGAAATAAAACGACAGTCACGTGTTCTGCATCGAAGTTAACTAGAAAGAAAGGTGAGGGAATCGGCGGTCTGTATGCGAGGGTTCGTGTATTTGGCCTCCGGTGTCGGGAATAGCTCGCAGCTTTCGCCACACAAAGCAGCGTCCGTTTCTGTCTAGTGCCCACATTAAACGGCAACGATGCATCTTTATAAGGCGGGAGACACGTATTCGGACAAATCGGGCTTTCATTCGCGGTAAGGGGGAGGGGAGCGACATATTAAGCGGCTACGAAGGGATTAGACGCCGGTTTGTGTAAGAGGCGCACATTCCGCGGCGAGGACAGAAGCGAAGCAGAGGACAGGGAGCGAGGTGGACACGTACGCAATAAGCGGCAAGGAAAATTAAGAGAGAACAGGAGGGAGAGGGGGTTGATCAGAAAAGCAGGGAGGCGAGAGAGGAGGACTAACATGGCAGAGAAGACGCTAAGTAATTCGTTAATTAAGGCCCCGCTGTCTCATCTTGTGGCGACTGAGAACCCCTAATTTTGTGTGATCTTTGCTGGACGTTTTCGTTTTGTTTCGTTTTTGTTCTTTCTGTGCGTGGGGCATTGACGTGTACCCAGTCAGATACGCCTGCTGGATGCTAAGCAGACACAACAAAAAAGCAGAGAGGAAATCGAAGTCATCCGTTTACAATGCATATCTGAATCCGTCTCGTTCGTTCTGTCACGTGGTGTCGGTGACGTCACGGTGAGAAAATGGGAGACTAGGCGTTCGCTGTATCACTCTCTTCCCGAGCGGAGTACACGAAAGTACTTCGTTCGCCAATAGATCCCATAGAAAAGTACGACTTGCAGACGGAGAGGAGTTTGCTGCCACTTCCCCGAAAGCAGCAGACGAGTATGCCATACCGAGACACCGTTAGTTCAAACAAAACATCGACATTGTTTTTTTTTTTTTTCTTTCTTTCTTTTTCAAAAGGGGAATTGCCTGGCATTGAACGGTATCGTTTAGGTTAATTCAGTAAGCGAGCTGTTTCCACTACCAAAGTAGTTTCGATGGCAGCCCTTCGGTTTTACGTGAAGAATAGGAAAAACCGGCGATCGCGTGTTCGCGCTAACAGCTCCGCGCAGCGTTCTTCCACCTGTACGGCAAAACGTCGCATTCACTGGCCAACCCGCGAAACGCTGTCCTTCTCCTCCTCTCTCCCGCTGACGAACCCAAAAAGAAAAAGGGAAATATTTTCGGCGCTGCTGAAACCATCGCTAAATGGGCGAATGGATGAATACGGCTTAAACCTTTCGAGTCGTACGACAGCTTGCGCCGCCTGGCCAGTGTTTCCTTAATACAACATTAACGACAAGTCGTACTACCCAGTTAAAACTGCACTTCAAGGCCGTGGCTCAGCGAATCCGGCAGCCAATTACTCGGCGCAACACGCTACTGCCGACGAAGGGCCTTAGATGACAAAACTCAAGCAATTAAATGTGCCAACTTGAAAAACACAAAAACGCATAAATTACCCCCTTCTTTTTTTTTTTTCTTCTTTTATGATTTTATTGTCCCGGGATTTACTGTAAACGCAAACGCATGAAGCTTTTCAGGCAGTCCCGTAAGAAGCTTTAGTGCCTACAAAAATAAACCAAAAATCACACGCTTTTTTTTTTTTTTACGGGCGGGTTTGTTTTTGGTGGACACCATCAAATATAAATTGGGTTTCCCAAAGACCGAAGTGCTCAACTAACACAATTAAAAGACCGGCTCAACTTTAGTTTCCTGGATCCGTTCATTCTTTCGAAAAGGGAAGAGGTAAAAAGAAAAAGATAAAAACATGCGTCGCAGCCCTTTATTCCGACATTCTAAACATTGATTAATGACATTTAAATGAAGAAAATAAGCCAAAATAAAGCAACAAGATCCGCGTTTCTACAGTTTTTATATAGCGAACGACTGGAATTCTGTGGATGATGAATCCATAAAATTCTAGTCGCTCGCTACATAAAAAAAAAAAAAAGAAGAAAGAACGAAGGAAGCCAAGTTCAAATAAAGAATAGACCGAGCGAGCATTACGAGGATATAAAAATATATATACGAATATACGAGAAAAAAAATGGCCGACAATGTTTATGTATCTTCATATTGTTTCGAGAGTTTCTCTCGGAGGAGGGAGGCTGGATCTCAGCAATGCGTGGTGATATATAAAATACAACGAAGAGGGAGAGATCATATAAGCAGACGAAAGTCGGACCCAAAACAATAAAAAACAGAAAACAAAAACGGGACAAGTCAAAATTACTCTACAAACATCCATTAATCCCGTAGGGTGACGGCCAGACAGATGGCGCGCATTCCGCGGTGCCGGCTGAGTTATCTCTACAACCACCCCCCCCCCCCCCTTTCCCTCATTTTTTTAACACAAAAAAACAACAAAAAAAAAAAAAAATCGCGAAGAAAACAAGTAAGGGTTAACGGATCCGCGAAAGCTTGAAGGCGTATTGCACATCCCTCATCCTCGACCCATAGAACCAATGGCGTCACTTATTATGTTTACATGTCTTGTTTTTGCGATATTCCTTTTTATCGGCCAATGCTCCAATTTCATTGGTTGCGGACCGTTTCTTAAGTTTTCGGCGACATTAACTGACGTACAACGTATTTAACGTGTTACAGGTCACGATACGGTTGTAAAACATCATATATATATTTTTTTTTTTCGTCTTTTCCCTAGGGTAAATTAGGAACATTTCCCACGGCGTCACCCCACCCAATCTGGCAACAATGGCCGGGGGAAGAGAGAGAGAGACAAGAACTCACCTGCTGCATCTTCTCGAAGTCTAGGCAGGGCCTCTGCACGGGCCCGCCGTCCACGAGCGAGAAGACACCGAAGGCCGTCCCACCCCCGCGGTCCTGCCGGTGCCTCTTGCGCGGCGACACGGCGCACACCTCGAAGGCCGGAATGTGCGCGGACGTTCCCCCCGAAGACACCGACGACCCCAACGACGACGTCAGGCCGCCGGACGCTGCGGCGGCGTGAAACACTTTGGGCGGGGGCGACCCGTTGTAGGGCCGATGCACGTGCAGCGGGGGCGACGCACGGAACTCGACGGGCGTCGGAGGAACCACGATGCACCGGTGGGACGACGACGTCGTGTGGCCGCCGCCGGGCGTCATCGGCGCCGTCACCGCACCGGCACGACCGCGGTGGACGCCGTTGGCGAAGCTTCCGTTGGTCGTCGCGGCCGCGCAGGCGCCGTTGAGGACGACGGCGGCGCCGCCCCGACTCCACGTAAGGTCCCGCACTTCCACGTCGTCGTCGTCCTCTTCGTCGTCGTCGTCGTCGCCCGTGACGCCGCCGCCGCCGGCCCGCACGTCGTCGACGCCCGTTGTGACCAGGTCGTCCTCGTCTTCGGAGGAGGTGTCGCCTCCGGCGCCGTCCGAACGACTTCGGCGTAGCGAGGCTGCGGAGACAGGAGGGACACCGTTAGATACTGGGGACAACCGACGTCACAGGCAATTTCTAAGCTAAAATAAAAGTATTTATTTTCCACGAAACGTTATAACAGATTTAAATAAATTAAGCATAGATACCGGGCACAATCGACGTCAAAGCCACCATCAAAGTTACGGCCACGAACGGCTTACCAATCGTGCTGTTCACACAGAGCCCATCGTGCTGTTCAGTCAGAGCCGGAATCCGTCATGTTTGACGCATTTCGGTATAGGCCGCCGCGTATGTGGACCGGTAGCCGGCAAAATTTAGCGGACGGTCGGCTCTGTGTGAACAGGACTGAACAACACTTTAGGCCTCGCGTGAAGCTTTATTTACTCCGTGTGACCTTATGACGGACCACACCGTACGTTAGGAGCCGCAAGAGCCAATCCAACGCCGGCTGAGTGTCACGTGGCCTTCGGGAGGGGCACATCGACGCGCCGGGCGCGTGGTCACGCGATGCCTTCGCAGCGCTGGATTGATTGGCTTCTGAGGGTCCGTAGCATCCGCCGAGGTCCGCCAAAAAATGAAGCGCCGTGTATAGACCGACTAACTCTCTCACGTCACGCCACTACGGTGTCGCTGCTGTCGGCCCTGCCCATGCGCAGACGCTTCACTCCTCCCGAAATTGGTTTCTGTGCACCTGGTGTGGGTAAAATCGGGCTGGTTTTGCACACAGTGTAGTAGTATAATACGTTTATCAAAGGGACAATGAAATTATTTTTTTTCTTCAGCTTTTTTCCTTCTTAGCTTGCCTCCCATACTATAAAGCGAAATGAGAAATCACGTGGTCGCGATGATCGATGACTCCAAGTTCCCACCGTGCCTATTAAGCACACCATAAAACTTGTCATTCGCAAGTGATAAGTTCCGTCACGACACTCATTGGCCACGAACGTGAATGCAAATATTCGCCCACGAATTGATTGTTGGGGAACGCATACGTCCGAGTGACGCGCTGTTCGCGTCCAATACGTGAGCTGGGTACGGCTGACGTGCTTAAAGGGGTATTCACACGAGGCACGCGCATCCAACGACGAAAACGTCAGGCTTTGCGATGTGCAAAAGCCTTGCGTTTTCAACTCGTGATGCGCGCGTGCCGGGGAGAAATCCCCGGGATTTCTCCCTCGTGTGAATACCCCTTAAAGAGCGGAGAGTTTCCGAAGGAAAGGAGATAAGAAATAGTCCGTTACATTTTTCTACGTTTCGTACCGAAAAGCAGGCTTTTGGTTTTCTACCCTCGTGCACTAGTTTTCTCTTGTCCGACTCAACGATATGCGATTAGTACACTCCCAATCTAAGATAGTCCATCCCAACTCAACATTCATTTCGTAGTAACTTTGAAGGAAAGCTGAAACACTTCCTTAAAAAAATGATAGAGGTTGATTCTAGCGGTTTTATACGGTGAATCTGAATGTCACGTTCGTTTTCCCCGAAAATGGTAACTAAACCCGAGGAAACACGAAAAAGCTCCAACCAGCCGTGACGTCATAATTGAATCTTTGGACCGCCAAGCGTGTCGCGAGAGGGCCGCGCGTGCCATTGCAAGCTTGGAGCTACATTCCCCCGCACTGCCACCACTGGTGACGTCTTTTTCTGCCCTTTTTAAAAAGAGCAAGAATGCGCGCGTGTAGCTTTGATAGGCGCTGAGGATGAGCGAGAGCGGAAATTCCGAAAACTCCTTTTGTGACGTCACGCTCCGGGAACAAGTGCCTTCAGCGGTACTTTGAAAATCACTTTTTGCAGCCCCCATGCGCCAAATTATAAAAAAATTAATTTCGATATTCGAGATTGAGGAGGCCAAGTGAAGATTTAAGCGTGTTTCTTCAAATACAAGACCGCTTCAGCCTCCTCCCTTCAATAGAAAAAAAAAAGACCGACACAGCTTGACTACAGTCATCTGACGAGGATGCGAGATGGGGAGGTGAGACATGGTGGAGGGATGTCATGTTTCGCTGACCCGACGTAGTCAAGGAGCGAGTCCATGATCAGCTGTTTTGCTTCGTACTTCTTGTCTCGGGCTCAACCCAGTCTTCAGAGCGCAGAGCTGGTGAAAGTTGCCCGAATGTTCTAAAGGCCGTCATTTCCTTCAGTCGCCGTTTATCGCGCCCCATCCCACCTGCATACCGGGAAAAAAAATGGAAGAGAGCACAAGAACCGCAGATGACTCTCGGTCAGGGTGGACCACCAGCGGTGCATCTCGCGCCGCCAACGCCTTTCTCGCGAGGTGTGGGGGGGGACGGGGGCCCACAAGGCCTCACCTCACGGGGCCGGGAAAGGGTCCGGTAGCGGAAAAGGCGTGACACCTCCTTGCCGCCCCACTGCGGGCCGCTTCACGAGCCACGCACACGCCACCGGAGGGCGCGGTCCCCACACTACGTTCTTCCGTTTCCTTTCGGCTGGAGGCCAAAGCCGAATGCCGGCCCTAACCAATCCCCCGTAACAAAAAGAAATAAAAAAATAAAAAAAAGATACCAGGTGATTTATATTTTACCACCCTAAAGGTCTTCCATTTGAGTCAGAAGAGCAGTTCACACAACTGGCCTTGCTTAGAACTGAGCTCTTTTTTGCAACATCTCACGACCAGAGAACACACTGGCACGGCTGGCACCATCTATGAGACGACTCTGGAACTGCATTTCAATAAACCGAAGGGGAGGTCTTGCGGTCGTTGCGAGATCAAATGTGTACGTACTATCGAGAGAACTGGTCGTTCATAACATTGTCAGAAGTTTTTCGAGCCAAGAAAAAAGAATGGTGTGCGAACAAGATAGGCGGTACTATACGAAAACTGTAAGTGGCCCACGAGAACTCGCTAGACGGCGCCAGTGGGTTCTATCGACGCAAGATATCTCAAGGCACACGGTCCTAAGCAGCGGCAAATGGTGTGTGAACCAGCCTTGGACCGAATGCGTAGGACCGCTTGTGACCGCTTCCGACCAGAGAACGCACCGGAACCCTGGCGCCATCTATCAGCTCGACATGGAACTATGTATAACTGAATCGAAGGCTTTTTTTTACAGCATAGACAAACTGAAAGCCACGCATTATGTAGGAGAAATAATCGGTCATAACGTTGTCCGTCTTTTTTTTTTATTTTTTTATTACAGTAGAGATAGTTTGACGCGTAAACAATTTGAAAATACACGTAGATGGGAAGTGAATGTCTGCTTTCTCCTCGTAAGCAAGTAGGGATGTCGCGAACTTTCGTCGAACACGAGGGTCTACTTGGGTTGCCAGCTGTTTCTCGGTGGTCGCACAGACGTTACGAAAGAAATCCTAGTACAATCAGTCACATCGTAAACTTCGTGATGCGAGGTTTCACCGAACATCGCCCTACTTGCGATGTTTGGTATTTCCCGGCCAGGCGATGGCAGGATGACAGTGATCGACTTCATGACGTGTTTATGTTGAAATGAGGGAAAGGTAGAGCTGGGCGTCGATTAAAAGTTTTAACCCGATTAATCGCCACATTTTAATCGATTAATTAATCGATTAACCGGTCTCGTTAATTTCTATGCACATTTAAAAATGCTTTTTTTACATACAATTTGAATTTCGAATCAACCTATATGCGTACTTGACAACAGCTTAAAGACACGCACGCTCACAAATAATTACTTAAGCTGCATGAGGCAAAGAGGTTTGTTGACATTTCCGGCAAGATCGACCTCCCTTGATTATTCAGAACAGTTTATGCTGCGTAAACGGACAGTCGAACTTAGTTGACGTGGGCGGGACAAGTTGAAACCTTCTGCAATTGTCTCAAGTAAAACATTGCGCCCCTAGGGCAAACATCTAAAGTTTTTTGTTTCTTTCATACACGCGTACTCGTTCACGTCTGCGTGGTGAAAGTTAAATTTTCATCCCTTTAGTTTCGTCAAAAATTTATCGATTAACCGGTGAAAAAACTGAATCGCGATTATCGATTAATCGGCACGATAATCGATCGACTGCCTTGCCCTAGTAAAAGGCAAGAGCGATACGGTTTTGTATCGCAGCGGATAAGAGCGTTCGCGGTAATATGCGGAGGCGAAAAAAAAAAGTCGATGTTTTGAGTAACGCCCACCAATATCAAAATAAAACACGATCCGAGCGAAAAAAAAAAATCGAAACAGTACAACTTTTCGCTAACTGGAAATCTAACTGGATTTCTTGCTGAAAACCTGAAATCCAGTTTGCAGAAAACTAGGGACGGAAACAGACTGGTAAACACAGCAGCACTCGCCATTCGCGACTCCAACGAAATCGTCGCCGCGTAGCGACAGCGCCGAGAAACTCAGGAGAGGAGGTCGTTTCGACTCTGTCGTCTGCTATCGCTGCTTGGTTCTCGTTGGCAGCATAGAAACAAACATCGTTTCCAGTGATTATTTTTATCATTCCGCCGTGTCATTCCTACCCACTGACTAGAAGAAGGTTTCTACCGTCGAAAAATCGCTTTGCTTTGAAATGCAACACTGGTTTTACGCTGCAGTCCAGGAATCTGCGCCAGTCCGCATTCTGAACGACGAAAACGACCTCCTTTCGTCCGCCATTTTGCCTGGGCAGCGCGCCCTCACTATTTCGCTAGAGTGGCGAAAAGCTCACCGCCTGTAAACCTGGCAAGTGCGATCACCATGATGAACGTGACCGACGGGTTCGCACGTCTGATTTGACCTCAAGCACCGTGGCCACTCTTGACGCCATATGCGCGTTCAATATGGCCACCGCTTGAGGCCATATTCGCGTTTAAAAATCACTTCTCGTATCAAAATAAAATATGTGGCAAATGAAAGATACTTTTTTTATGCGTTTTATAAAATATTCAGTCGTTTGCAGGCTTGTGTACAATAAAAAAACGTGCACGGTTGTACAGAGCTTACTAACAGATTATTAAGAAACACGCGCGGCGGGGCTTGCTCCTTTGGCGGTATGATCGTCTAACGCCGCAATCTTGCGTTGCTTGATATCTCTCTTACAGTATACGGCCTTGGCGATGCTTTTCCTGCGTTGCATCTCGGATCGCGGATGTCCGATCACATCGTTTTCTGCTATCCGAGCGAGCGTTATGGAACGCGACACTTCGAGAGAGAAAACAATAACAACAACGTTCGATCGCTTCTTCCGACCGCTTCCTCGCCGATCCCTCCGCGCCTGCCAAGGCTAACGGGCGGTCTATGCGGACCGGCGTCCACGGAACCTGTCCCCAAGCTCGGGAGCAATCTTTTCACAAAAGCCCCCCTGGCCGCTTTGTACCTACCGCTCGAGCTTGCCAAAAGAGAACAAACAACCAATAAAAAAAATCCGGTTCTTTTCAAGGACGCGCTGCAGCATGCAGTTCAGCTCGCGAAAACAAAAACAAAAAACAAAAAAAAAACAATGTTTTTTTTTTTTTTTTTTTGTTCATTTAGTTTCCACAACCTCACCGAAATTGGCAATGGCGACTGGATACCGTCACCATTGCGGCCCCTTTAAGCGTAAAGGCTCGTTCACAGAGTTGCGTCGACAGCGTTGCGTCGTGCAGGACAGCGCCACCCCACTGGATCGTCGTAAGGGTGGCCATTGCAACAGCTCCACGCAACCAGTGTTAACGCAGTCAAACGCAACTGTCTAAACGAGACTCAAAGCTCGAGGCCCATTATTCCCGAGACCTATTCACCCCTTAAAAAAAACAAAAAAACACTGTATTTTTTTTAAACACGTATAGTTAGAAAAGAAAAGAAAAAATATTAAAACAAATTTTTTTTAATGCAATATTTAAGCCGCCCGACGCGATTTAGGTGCAGAATGTGGAGGTCGAAGCCCGTTAAGCCCCGCCCCGTGCTTACATCTCTCACTAGCTGGAGGGATGACTGACGTGTGAAAGGTTGGTAGTAAATTCGAATCTATGTGACGTAATAGTGTTTTCATCGATTTTTTTTTTTATCTTTGAGAAACAAGTAATCTAGATAGAGTCAATATTGTTTGCAAAAATATCTCGGGATTGCCTTTCCGCCTCGGTTTCAAACGATACTAAACATGGCTTGCCGGTGTTAGCGGAGTGCTAAGCGAACGTTGAGCTCGGCTATTTATTTATGAGTGCGGGTCATTTTGAGTTCACGCAGGTGTTTAGAGGAAGATCTCATCAACCGACACAGTCTGCAGCAAGCAAACAACTGTCACAGCTAAGTACGGGCCTTCGGAAGCACTGAGCGAAAGCTTGTTTTCGTAGCGGGGCTAAGCGTCGTGATCGCGACCATGGTTTCAATACGGGTAAGAATTTGCGAGCCAATCGGCTGGAGGCCATCGGGCGTTCGGCTCGCACATCAGGTTAGTCCAGGTACGTTCCCGCCATTTTGCTTCGAAAGGCAAGTAGCTCAAGTTTTGCAGTACACCTGGCCTGCCAAAGCGAATAATTTTTGGTCACGTTTTAATCGCGGGCAATACCCCTCTCTCACCCTGCTCGTAGATGCCACGCGAAAAAAAAAAAAAAACGTGAAACGACAGCATATTTATATTGTTGATTTTCTTTTTTAGTCTTCTCGGTTCCATTTTATTGCTCATCAAGTGAGGCTGACAGCCGCTTGTATTGGACCGTGGCTCGTGCATGGTGGAACGCTAGAACGCCGCTTTCATGGTCGTGTCTTGGGAGCGCTGTTAACGTTTTTAGACAGGGGCGAAATAGCAGGCGAACGAGCGCGAAAACGGACGCCGACGGGCAGCGTTCACGTCCGCGTACTTCGGGCATGGCAGACGACGATAGATTGTGCTGAAATAGGCAGACGATACCGGAAGATGCCGCGGGTCTGCTCGCATAAATAACAGGTGTTGTCAGACGACAGACAAGAAGCCGGATGTCGCGAAAGGGAGACATTAGGCTTGTTAGCGTGTTCGGCCGAGCAGCCAAGCCAATCCAGTAGTAAAGAGCGGGGCAACTGATTTGTGGGAGGGACTTAGAGCGGGCCGTGACCTCCACCTAGATTGCGTCTAACGGCGTGAATATTGCGCGATTTTTTTCTTCTCGTAGAAAAATATAAAAAAAAAAGTCCTATATATGCCTAAAATTTTTTTTTTTTTGCAGTATTTTTTTAAGACGAGTTTGCAGCCAAAGCTACAAGCGCGAGCTAACCCGTGCTCCTAGCTTTCAGATGTGCATTTCTAGCGCGAGTACTCGCTTGGTGGAAAAGCTTTTGAAAGCAGCGACATCGTGCTCTCATACTTGTGGCATGGTTGGAGTCCCAGCTCAAGGGTGAACGGTGCAGAGAGTGACAAACAGCAAAATCTGGCGCTGGTCAACCTCAAGCACGTGCACCGTGCAAGCGGAAGTACCCTTTGCAAGGCTTGTTGTAGTCTTGCGGCTCATGAAGCAAGCAGGAGTGACTGCAAGCCCGCCATAGACACATTCGTGTGCATGATGCACGTGTTTGAGGTTCGTCGGAGTCGGCTAGAGTGCCTTCGTACATACGCGCTTTTGTTCGAGTCCTGACATCTCAGCCATTCTTCCGACAAGAATGTGTCACAATCATGCATTTTTCGTAAACACGTTCCAGCGGCGTGGGGAGATCACACGTTTTACCGCATACCAGAAGTGACGACATTTAAGATGGCTGCGCCCTTGTGGAAAAGGTGCGCTTTAGCATCCTTCACGCGTGGTTAAGGTCGTTCTTGTGTAATGTCACCCCTTCCGTGAGCGTTTTAGTTCTCGTTCCATGCGGTCTAGCCCTTGTTATGTACGGCGCGTTTCCCTGTACTTGCGCGTGTCCACAGTGCCAAAGAACAGACGCTACGGGGCACCCACCTCTGGCATCGCGGACCCTCCTCTGGTTGGCCTGCGACCACTTGCGCTTCTCGGCCGAGCCGGCCCTGTTGTTGATCACCTCCAGCTCTTCCTCGGAGCTGTGCTGGTCCAGCGTGTGGTCGCTGTCGCTGGGCAGCGCCGAGTCCAGCGCCACGGGGCTCGGAGACACGGCCACGCGGGCCTCCGTCGCCACCAGGCCGCCGGGAGACAGGAGGGTCACCACGGCCGAGGGCACGGGAGGGGACGGCACGGGCTTCCTGGTGGGCGGGGCCTCAACCGCCGGGCCACCGCCGTTGATGCTGATCTGCTGCGGGTGGCGCCGCCTCTGCGGCTGGTGGGACTGTTGGTGATGGTGGTGGTGGTGGTTGTGGTGGTGATGGTGGTGGTGTGGCGGCGGTGGTGGCGGCGGCTGCTGCCGGTTTGCGAACCTCGTCTGCTGGTACAGGACTCGCCGCCGGCCCGGCGAGTGACCGCTGCCGTCCTCCAGTTGGATGCTGTGCTCCATGTCTGCGTAGATGAAAGAATATTTCCATGTTAGTTATTGATATACTTGTTAGTGAGCGCGTTGGTAATGATGTAGGTTTAGAAAGAGTTGTATACGTAAAGACAGGGGACGGGACAACACATCTTTCATTGATACTAATAACAGCGACAAACTTCATTTTGGGATTCTCGAGTGGCGGCGGACGGGTGACGAGAGGGAGGGCGGGGGCGGGGGGGGGGGGGGGGGTACCAAATTTAATTTTACCCGGCACATACACTCCAAGGAATCGCTGAACCAATAGAAAAGGCCCAGTGACTTGTATAGAGCCTCTACTTTCTCAAACAGCGCTTCAGAGAGCCCAAGGATGACGTTTCACGCACATAGGCCATGCCCATTGAAGTGCCACGGCGCAGAGTACTTATTTCCGTGTCTATACATATGAGGTTTATGTAGATAAGGACGCTGCTGAGTTATACCTATCTATATATACGCCTATATAGACAAAGGATGCTCCGGATTTCTTGGGGTGTACCATCCCTGGGAACTTTACCGCAATAAAAAAATAATCATACTATGACAGTCAAAAACACTAAGTTACAGTAGTTTCAGGCGGCTCTGGTAGAGTCGGCTTGGTCGGGCCCGCATTTCTTGGGGTGAGAGAATATATGCGCCTCTGTCATACTTTCACTTCCTCTCTAAAAATAAAGTCATTCTAGCAAAAGTCTGAAACGCCACCGCAAAAACCCGCCTCGGCAAATGGGTCTTTCGTATTGTTGAAGACTATACTCCCAACTTTAACGGCACCGAGATCCAAAGTGCGGGCTCGCTTTCTGCTTCTCAACATGAGTCTAAATGCAATCAGAACAGTAAGAATAAGCTATAAACGAAACAACAATTAAAAAAAAAAAAAAGCTTTCTCACATTTTTGAGGTACGCGGGATACATACAGCTACAACGAGAGGACAATTCCTTTCGGTTCGCGAAAACTACGATGTGATGCCGCATTGTGGCCGAACGCTGTGCACAACTGCCGGGGAAGGGAGCGGGTTCTACGCGAACAAAGTGTCGACGGGCGAAAGCAATCAGCGATGTCACAACGCGAAAACTCGCGCACCGCGAACAATGGATGGGTTAAAAGCGAGGCGGTGACGGTTAGAAAGTGCGTGAGACAGATAGAACGAAAGGGCCGAGTAGGAGACAAACGACGATTAAAAGCAAGACGGAATCTAGAGAAGGCGAAATGTTGAAAGCCTACGCGGCGACGTGGCGGTTCGCCCGTTTCACTTTAAAAGATGGACCGCTGCCAACGCCGCGATCCCACCAAGCCGATCAGTCAGCGCTCAAAAGTGCATCGTCACTACGTGGAGCTCGAGTTCGTCTGCTTCTTTTTACAGGGGTTGTGGCGACGTCAGAACGCCGAGCTCCGATTGGCTCTGATGGAAGGATAGGGGGTAGACCTCAAAGCAAGCTGCCTTGAGGTCTACCCACTATCCTTCTATCAGAGCCAATCAGATGCTCGGTGTTCTGAAGTCACCACAACCCCTGTAAAAAGAAGCAGACGAACTTGAGCTCGGCATACGCTCGGTGTCTTTGACGCTCTGCTATCGCCAACTAACCCAATCACTCGCACGGGGGACTCGTACACATGACTTTAATAACAGCATATCAATCACGTAATTATTTATGAAAGAGTAAGAAGAAAAGCGCAGGACACATCACCATAACTTTCGTTTCTCTACCCGATAAAACCCGGTCCCCACTCGAAAACGTCGAGTATACCACTTGCAGTGACCCTAGTAATTCAACCTTTCACAACAAAGTGAATGAAGTATGATGCAAACAACGGGTCGAGAAAAAACGCGTACAGCCAGCTGCTATTTTTTGCAAGTTAAAATTCGTCACGACGTTCCGAGCCGTAGCCAGCTTTCACGACGTCCCAATAAACACTTCAAACTAGTGACTTCCAAAAGTGCGCAGTTTAAAGGTATTAATTGTTGTTTTTCCCGGCACGCGTCTTCTAACTTATTCCCGTGTGCGGACTCGGAGACTTCAGCGAATGAACCGCAGACAGCTTCCATTACTATACAACTGGCTACAGGAGCACGACACCCGGGGAGCGCTTCGAGCTGTGACTGGCTGGAAAGGGAACACGTGACATGGACTTTTGCGGGGCTAAAAAGCTCACACTTATAATTCTTTTTTTTTTTTGCTGTTTTGAGGATGGCAAGAATGCGTGCATAGCTTTAATAGCTGCTGAAGATGCGCGAAAGCGAAGATTCCGAAAACTCCTTTTATGACGTAACGCTCCGGGAAGGAGGGGCTTCTGCGGTACTTTGTGACAGATTTCTCTGCAGCCTCCGTGCACCAAATTGAAACATGTTCTCGATATGCCTGATCCTGGAGGGCAAATCAAGACGAGTGTTTGTACTCAAACACAGGGCTGCTTCAGTTTCCCTCTCAAAAGAACACGTGACTTGTCAGAGCCCGAACTCGTTGCTCTGACAGGTCACATTAATTTCAACTTCGTGGAATCGCAGCCGGAGAAAGGAATAAGCATCCTCTATTAGGCAACACCAATTAATTCTTTTCTCCTTTTATTTTTCTTTCATCCCAAGCAGCTGCCGATTTCACCAAAACAATTTTGTTTTGTCGCCACTTTTTTTCATATACATTTAGACGAAGAACTCGAGCTGTCGTTGTGAACGAACCCTCAAGACCGAGGCAATGAATGCCTAGAAATATATATTAAACAAAAAACTAATAAGATGACGGCGCAATCTGAAAATCCTGGTATTGTCTCAACCATATACTCGGCAAACAAACCTAGTCCGTCCGTCGGCCGCTTCAGCCGACGGACGGTCAAGCCGCTGTTTCTCTTTTTTTTTTCTTTTCTTTTCTTTCTTTTTTTTTTTTTTTTTTTTTGATTCATACATCAACATCGCCTTCTCCAGATTCTGTTAGGCCGGTGACTATAGCTATAGGGTACGTTCTCGAGAGTTATTCGATCGTACTACAAATCGCACAAAGAATCCAAAAAAACAAAGTGTAATGAAACTTTTTTTTTTCACAAAGATGTTTTTAGGCAGTACAATCATCCCCAAATTTCGTGAAGTTAAACGTTAAAAAGTAAAAATAAAAGGTGCAATAAACTAAAACTTTGTATAGACATTTTCCACAGGGGCGCCGCCATCTTGATTTGTCGTCACTTCCAGTATGGGCGACGACAAAATAGTAAAACGTTTCAACCTGTAACCAGTAAAAAAATAGAGGGGAGCCAAAACGAGAATGTGTGACGGTTAGGCTTATATCCCAAATGTCTTCTATTGGCGTGGCGACGGCAAAGTAATGTTTTCGCCCATACTGGAAGTGACGACAATTCAAGATGGCGGCGCCCTTGTGGAAAAGGTCTATATCCTTTACAACGGGTGAAAACGGACACAAGCCGTCTGGTTGTCGCCGCTAGTCACATCGTACTACACAAGCTCGGACCTGCGGGATCTGTTTTGGGGTGTTCATCTCCCAAGAAGCTTTCGAGTTGTTTGTACCATGTGGTGGGACACGAGAATAGCAGAGGAGAAGCGCCAACTCGACAGATTGCTTTTTTTTTTTCGCATTTTTTTATTGGAAAACTATTGTCTTTAAATATAAGTATGGTATATGAGCGCCACCTGAAGACATCTTTATAAAAAGGTTCATTCCACTCAGATTAGTGGCTTATTTGAATTCGTTCTACAGTCTACAAGAACACGAACTGACACCGCCTGGCGGACGAAGAATGCAATATTTATCGGGTTATCTGTCATTTCCGTTGAAAGCTATCTAGACCATTAAGCGCGTGTATGTTCTCTTTCACATTGTGCGAGCATCGGGAATTGTTCTCTAAAACGTTTATAGACCAACTAAGCACCCTGACGTCAGGCCACGGCGGCGGCGCTGCTGTCGGAACTGCGCATGCGCAAAGTCTTTATGTCACGTGAATCTGGTATCTGCGCGCGCACAGTGCCCACACCTCGTGTGTGGCGAACGTGGCTTGTTTGTAAACAGCGAGTTGGTGTACTAAAAAAAAAAGGAAACTATATATATATTATTTTTGTTTTAAAGTGCAGATTTTCTTGACTTGAAGTCGGGCAACACTGGTCAAGAAGTTGAACTTCGTCAAATTTTGTTCGAAATTCCGAAGGTTCGTCAAACCAGTCAAAAGTTTGCAACTGCCCATCCCATCCCATCCCATCCCATCCCATCCCATCCCCCCCCCCCCCCCCCCCCCAAGGACGTCTCACGCACCTCTTCGCTGACAACTACGAGTGACTCAGCTTGATTTTACGCAACCCGGGACCGATACAGCAACAAGTTTGGCAGATTTCGTCAAGAGCGTCCAAGACAAATAGAACAGCGGACCCGACTTTTTCTGATTTTCTTTCGTCGTAAAATTAAAAATAAATAAATAATAGAGATATGATTCACCGTGTGAGTATTCAAAAGTTTATTCTTCGGCAAAAAAAAAAAAAAAAAAGAATAACCTAAAGAAAAAGAAAAAAACCAAGCGCACACACACAGAAAAGAACTACTAAGACGAGAAAATATTTGACAATCTCGTCAGTGGAAAGCCTAAGAATATCGTTTCGAGGTTGTCTGGCACCCGAACAATGGGCAAGGACAGCTACAGATTTTGCGCGCACAGAGGTGAGGCAATGTCGAACACTCAGAACGCGTCTCTGACGTCCGTATCTTCGTCTGTCTTTCAGAAAGAATAAAGGGCGATTCGCACACCTGCGTCGAGTCCGACCCAGTGCGAGGGTTGCTATGGCAACAGCAGCTTCGGCTCCATCGCAGCTGTCGCCATAGCAACCCCAGCACTCGGTCCGACCCGACGCAGGTGTGTGAATCGTTCTTGAGAGAGTGCCATACAGGCAGAATCACCCCAACTTGGACTAGCATGATCGTTTGTGCACGCGACTGTGTATGTAGCGCATGCCACGAGTGCTCAACTTTTGTATGTTTGTGTTAGCTTATCTCTATGTGT